CCCAAAGAAAGCAAAGAAAATATGTAAAAAAGAAGAAGAAGAAGAAAAGAAGGAGAAAGAAATTACCTTACCTGGAGGACAAATCAGCGGCTAGGGCTTTTGACTCTGCTCGGGCTGAATCCAGAAGAACAAGAGAGGTTCGGCCTGGCTTGCGTCGTTGGGATGGGAGCAAGGCTTCGGCTAAGGCGCGAGCAGGAGACCAATAGATGGAGGTCGGTCCAAGCGTCCGATTCATCTTTGTCCGAACAGAAGAGAGGCGACTTCGACTTTGCTGGAGGTCACTAAGCCTTGCATGCACGTCTTCGTCGTCGCCTATGCTTTCGGCCTACTCGTGTCTTACGCGAAAACCCAGAAGCGGAGAGGGGGTCCAGGATATCCGAATGGAAGAAGAGGAGGAGCTTCGGTCTTGGAGGAGGAGAAAGCCTCCTTGCTTGTGCGAATACCACTAAAGGGCCACTAGGGAGTGCGAATGGGCATCGGCTAGGGCAAGAAAATCGGAAGTGGATTTCTCCTCTCTGTGCGAATGGGAGAGCCCGCCCCAAAAGAGAGGGAGCCGGAGCTAGGGTTTTTATTTTGCTCATTATGCCAACGAGTCTATCCCGAGAGAAAGGGGGCGGGTTCCAAAAATAATCCGAGAGCTCCCCTTGAGATGGAGGCTTCGGGCTCAATTAGGGCACGAGAGAGAGAGAGAGAGGAAAGAATAGAGCCGTTCGATCAAAATTCTTGACCCGACGACCGTACGATTCAAATTGGCATGGAAAGTCAATCCAATTTTGATTAGAACCTAGTTATACCCAAGGGACTGAAATCAGGTTCAAATTGATTAAGATTTGGTTCGATTTGGGTCAACTAGAACTCGCCTCGACTCGAACAAAATTAATTCCATAAAATAAGATAAAATAAATCAAACTCAAATTAATGTTAATTTGAATCGAATCGGGCTCGACGAGGCTCGATCAACACGATCAAATACGTTCGAGGGAAAAGTTAAGCTAAAAATGAGGTTAACAGATACTAACATAAAATCTTTAGAATTTAAAGCACAGAAAAAGTAATTTAAAGATTTTGCATTCAATTGTGCATTGATTCGTTCTTCTCTATTTTATTGACTAAAAGGAATGTCAGTTTTAAGTCCATCTAAACTACACGACGGTGATGAATAACCAGTTAAAATGATATGCCACATGCGAAAATCAATCGATTGCAAAAAAATAAATATACAAATTTTCCAAAAAATCAAATGTAATATTTTCAAAGAAAGGTGGTCTAGTGTTTGAATAATTTTTCGTAATATTATGATTTGGAAAATTAGCCATTGATCAAAAATTCAAAAGCTTTTAAAAACTTATTTTATGAATACTGCTTTGATACCACCTGAAAGTGCCTAGATGACACAAAAAAGTGCTCTGATACCACTTGAAAGATCATTAGGGATGTTAGGCCCTATAAACTGGCCCAAAGCTAATTAAGAGAGATATGTGAATTGGTAAAAACTAATACAAAAATCAAACCAATATCACCACAATAAAAACTAAAGTACAGAAATTAAATACGGAAGTAATAAAGAAAGAACACACCGGATTTATAGTGGTTCGGTTAATCCTACACCTACGTCCACTCCTTGGAGGCACCCTCTAAGTATTACACTATAAAAGTGTCTCTCCTTTAGCCCCCACTGCTAGGCGGAGAAGCCCTTATAAAATCACTTCCACCTTCCCCAGTGCGGCGGAGTCGCCGGGTCCTTTGACACCAAAGAGATCTTCTTCTTTGGTGAACTTCCCTCGAGACAAGCCTTGAATCCGATGGTATTCAGGTGCGAGCTTGCCAGAGCAACCGTGTGGAACCCCCTCCACACTCCCTTGAGTCCCCCCTCACAGGATCTTCTCCCTCTCTCAAACTCCACCCTTTTCTCACTCCCTTTCAAGCTCTCCCTTTAAGTTTCCCCCAAAAGAATGAAGCTACAATGGCTTCCAAAGACACTTTACAAAGTGCCTTGACATCTCTTAAATAGAAGAGCTAAAAACTAGATCATTAATGCAAGTTGACGATTTTATCATCCATGCCAATAGGCATATCGTCCTGGCCGATTAGTTCAAATATGAGGAAAATTGTCCTGAACATCGCCCTGAAATGAAGCTGGACGATGATCAATCAGCCCGAACGATCTTACGATCGGCCCGGCCGATGTGATTATTCAAATCACCATTATTTGCTTTCCTTAATTGCTAGATTTATTTAAGAAAATTGCTCTGGATCGGCCAAGCCGATCTTGATAGGCCAGGATGATCCACCGAGATGATATCCAAAATATGTATTTTCTAAGTACATCTAGCGGCATATTCTTTTTGAATTGAGCCTATCGTCCTGGCCGACACAAAATCGTCCAGGACGATGTGTTTTATGTAATGACGACTGCTTTAATGAGAATGCCCTAATTAGGGTTTTTGCTTTTGAACAGATCATCCAGGCCGATATAAATATCGTCCCGGACGATGTTACCAAAAGTAGAAATCTTTAGGAAACAATAGAAAATCTTCCAAGTTACAAATCATTAGGAGCCACACCAAATACAATAGACTCAAGAAAGGAAAAAGTGTACAAACTGACTTAGTCCTAGTCTACCCAAGTTTGAGCTGATTTCAAATTGCAGTCTGATCGTGTGGACCTGAAATGTCAGTAGATAGAGAAGTCATAGAGAAATATGAGTGTTTGCTATCATCAAAATTATAAACCATGAAAATAGATCCGCAACATGGGAGACGAAAGTCAGAAGAACCATATTTGGCGGGTGATGAAGGTCAAAAGGACTGTAGTGGGTAGGGGACATAAGTTAGAAGGACCATAGTCAGCGGGCAATGGAGGTCGGATGGACTGTATTCTGCGGATGGAGCTAGTCAGAAGGAATGTAGTCGGCGGACAACGGAGGTCGGAAGGATCAATGTCGGTGGGTGATGGAGGTCGGAAGGACTGTAGTCGGTCAGTGACATAAGTCAGAAGGACCTTAGTAGGTGGGCGACGGAGGTCAGAAGGACCGTTGTAGGTGGGAAATTGAGGTCGGAAGGACTGTAGTCGATAGGAGACGTAAATCAGTAGGATCGTTATTTGATGACGAAGGTAATAAGGATGGCGTCAAGTAGAAATCCAGAAATGGACATAAATATAGTATCAAATAGATGTCCGGTGAAGGTCTGACAATAGACAGAAGTTTGGCGTAGGGTAGAAACTTGGCAACGAGCAAGGTCCAGCGTCGGGTAGAAGTCCAACGTTAGTTGGAGGCCGAGGAGAACTTTGGCGTTAGATGGTATTTGGCCAGAACTGTAGCGTCACTTGGAGTTCTTATTGGGTGGAGTTTCGGCGCCAGGCGAAACTCCGACAGTTGTCGAGGAGGAGTTTCTTCCCTCCTATCCTTCTCTTATTCTTATCTTGCTTCTTACTTCCCCCCTCTCATGAGAAATGAGGGGTCTATTTATAAACATTCTAGAGTAGCATGACCCGTAAATAGATGATAGATCAGGGGCAAATATGGAGTGATTCAGATGGACGACCGATATTGAATCATTTTATTGTGGACCGTTTATCATACATTTGAAGGTCTTAATGATGTCGAAATTCGGTGATCATGGGCTCATTGGATTTTTCTCGTCGAGCTCCTCGATTCGACTATAAGCATGTCACGTTTAAAAATCATTTGGTAATCCAAATTGTTGTTTGAACCTTCCAACAGCGTTTCGGGTCCTTGATTTGGACCCATTTGAGCTCGGATCGAGTTGAATTTGGTGTCGTTGGGTTCTTATTTACAAGACGCTCAGTTTGACTATAAGTTTACTAATAATAGAGTTCAAGTGATCCCGAATCTTATTTTTTAAGTTGCCAGCTTGATTTTGCCTCGAGATTCATGCCCGATCAAGATAATTAACTGATAACATATCATGATTGAACTTTTTTCCGGTAGCTATTTATTTATTCCTCTTAAGGACTTGTAATAGTTTTTTGCATTAACGTGTAGGCCCATCAGTGGGTTAAATTTACAATTTGATAGAACCAAAAAGCTTTTATATATATATATATATACACACACACCGTGACTTCTCCACATGGCAGTCAAATGTCATCCACTTGCTGACTTGATCGCAATTGCAAATTAGTTTTTACATGATCATTTTAATTAATTAGTTTTAAAATTAATTTTTTTTAAGCTTCATTTGGGAAGACAAATTATTAATTATTTTTGAAAGCAGCTTTTATTAAAAAAAAATTTTTGGTTAAAATTTTTTTTTATTATGTTATAGTCCACGAAAGAAATGACACATATATGTTCTCAGTTATATTTTTATTTTCATTGGTATAGTCGACCAAAGAAAGAACACATATATGTTTTTTTTTTTTAAATGTTAAAAGTATTTATTTACATTAATGAATAAACTTATATAAGTCATTCTGTTATATCAATGCATTATTTTTATTATTATAAATTCAAGCTCATCCCACGTATTTATTTACATTGATAACGCATGCAATTATTTAAAAGAAATTACGAAAAGGAAGTTTTTGTTGTTTTTTATTTAAATAAGTTAAATAAGAATGCTTAAAATTTAACGAAAAAGCTGACATACAGAATTTTTCAAAAAAACAAGTGATTGATGAATTTTTTTCGATTTTCTCAATGTGAATATTTCTTGAGATGCACGACGTCAACAAGAAAAATTGTTCGTATCGCCCTCGCCCAATTTAGTTGGAGCGACACAGTATTAAAATAACTTTTTAATTCATAGCTCTCGGATTTATTTTACATAAAATAGAGAAGATCCACCAGCTAAATTAATAAGCTATTTAAACGTTTATGCTCTATAATAAATATGTTAAGTGGGCTGAATGGCTATTCAACAGGAAGCCAAATGAGCAAGAGAAAGTAGAGAGCCAGTTACAACGTACGTGGAGCTCCCTCCTTTTTCCAGTTCTCTCTCCCCTACCCCGTAGCCTTCACTTGACGGCAACGATCGATGTTGAGCACCAATGCTATACGCAACATTATCGGGATCGTTGGTATATTTTTCGCATAAAATTTCCTTAAAAAAATACATGCATTAAGGACGCCTGATGCTTGTTTTTTACATTAGAAGTGCTTTAAAAAATCAATTCTGATATCATATTGCGAATATGATTTGTTAGCAGGTAATGTTATTTCCTTCGGACTATTCCTCTCGCCAGCGCCAACATTCATGAAAATATATAAGATGAAAGCTGTGGAGCAGTTCTCTCCAATCCCGTACCTAACGATACTTGTCAATTGCATGTTGTGGGTCTTCTACGGACTACCCATAGTCAAACCCAACACTATTCTCGTCTCCACCATCAATGGCGTGGGGGTTTTAATAGTTAGCAGCTACCTCATAATTTTCTTCTACTTTTCGCCGAAGAAGATGAGGGTAATTAGATTGATGTATTTAAAGTAATATTTTTAATATGATTTTGGTTTATTGAAGTGCGAAAAAATTGAAGGCTTCGGGTTTTCTTCGGGCAGATAAAGGTGTTGAGAATATTGGCAGGGGAGTTGGTTTTCATGACGATGGTTATTACTTTGGTGCTCTTAACACTGCACACGCATGACTCGAGGTCTCTCATTGTTGGAATTATCGCAATCATCTTCTGTATCGGCATGTATGCCTCACCCCTCTCCGTCATGGTATGCCTTAATCATTTTTATTTCTTTCCTATTGGGATATGCTCCATCACCAATCATTGTTCCACAAAATAAATGTTAAGAGATTAGTTCTTGATTTAGTTGAATGAGGGGAATTGGAATCACACACTTTACCATGATAATGATCAATCATGTTGTTTTTTTTTTTTATTTACAAGCTCTAATTGCTTGTTGCCTTTTACCACAAGATGAAATTGCAAGTGGTTTTAAAGATTTCCTTTATAGAAGTTTTGAACAAATTGAATCATAAACATATAGGCATGTATGTAAAAGGCCTCAAACGTGTGACCTCAGCTTGGTTGATAGCCTAAGCTCCTAACTAAATATTTAGGTGGGCTGCATCATTATATTAAGTAGGCATAAGAATAATGACATACATAGTTTGCATTGGTAGTGACTTCATAAATGAGTTTGCTTCTCTTGACAATATAAGCTGCTAATGCCTCAGACCATGACGTAAGTAATCAACACTCAAATAAGGATTCTACATTACTAATTTTAGTGAAGAACAATTACCATTATGATTAGTACACACATTACTCTCCATTAGAGATAAACACTAGGATGTTACTTACCTCCAAATCCTAGTCTCCTTCTATCTATCAAATAAAATAATCCAATAGTAGATAAAAGATTGGGATGGGGCCAATCGATGCATTCATGTTAGACATATGTGATGAGAATCTTCACTTTTTGTTGGATAAGAACCATCAAACATCTAATATAGTCAACATCTGGGGAAAAGTGATTAAATACATAAATGCTAGAGATTTTTACCATAGATCTTATTAGTTTAACTCAAGAATCTTCCTGTATGTTGACTACAATAGAGACGCACTAAAGAACCTCCTACATATTCCTTTGGCTAGCTAACATTTGAGTTCTCAAAGAAGAGCTCACTATTTTATATAATAAACTATATAACTATAACTTTTTTGTCTAGTATAATTATTGTGATTATAAAAAACATACTGTTTGGTTCCTCTTAAAAATTTGGCTATTAATGAGTGGAAGGGAATAAAATGATCATAATGCGCTTAGCACAAAAGGAATGATATAATGACACAAATGATTGTAGGATTCTCAAGAACAAAATTAAATCCGAGTTTGAGAAAAGAGAGAAATGAGAATCTGATATGTGAATCATATACAGAATATTTAAGCGCGCGCGCGCGCGCGCCCACACACACACACACACACACACACACACATATATATATATATATATTCTAGATTCACTTCAAGAACATTAATATCATCTTTATAGTCAACATATTGATAGAGATAAAATTCATAGCTTAAAGTCAGGTCGTTTGGATCAAGAACTTTTGCTTAAAACATAGTAAGCTCCTATCAGGAATTCATATAGTAGAACTATTATAATAAAGACATTATTTTTACTTCACTATAGTAATTACTTTTCATTAATGTTGAGGGTTTGATTAAAATGATCATTTACTAAAGACTTAACATGACAAACTTTGATGTTAATACCCTATAACCTATGATGTGGTATATGTACTTCTTAACAAATGATTATCATTTAGTTTATGATATCATTTTGCTATCAACAATAATAATTAATTATGAGAGTTTTCAAAACCTTCAGATATCATAAGCTTAAAGGATTATCTTTTATCATCCTTTGTTCCAGCATAAGCAACAGTGTCCAGTAACCATCTAATAAATGAAAATCTATGTCAGTGATAGTTCATATTTATCCAATAAATTTTCATAAATACAATTAAAGGTAGACTGCTCTTAAACCCTTCAGCTCTCAAGATTTGCCTTTAAAAGATTGAGAACATATATGCTGAAGAGAAAAATTAAGAGATTCACAAAATGAAAAAGATAATTCAATGATATATTTGAGTAATATCCTTTAAAATTTTAGAGGTTTTATCAAGGAGATCCTTTTTGTTCTCTTAAAAAGAAAAATGCACAGGTAGTTGCAACAACAACCTATTATTCTCTAATTTATATTAAAGTTATTTGGAAGAACAACATTAGAGCATTTGATTAAAAGATTATAAAACTGTTTAATGATAACTAGCATTGACATTATTGTGATAGTCTTTTCATTGTGTTGCATAACATGGGCATAATAATTTCTCATGATGACTAAACCAACTCACTCTTCAAAACATGTCTCCTTACTACTATACTTCATTAATTAGTGTGGGATTCAAAAATCCTTAAATGGTTTCTCTTGCCATTAGAATAATGGTTATTGGGTAGCATAGATGATCAACCCCTAATATAACTTTTGAGAATTACTGTAAACAAAGAATTAGTCTATATCTTTGAGATTTTTGTAACTAGTGTGGAAAATAAAATATGATTTATTCCAATTTTATGAGAATATGATTTCCCATTAACATAATCCTTAATTTTTAAATGCATCTTAAATATGATGTCTTAGAAAGCTTGATTAAATATAGTACAAATGTAGATAAAAAACTAGGTGATGTTGGTGGATAGCCTTATGGTGGGATTGATGGATGAAAATATCTTGGATAATTAGTTTATGATGGTTTGTAATCTAAAGTATATGGTTTAATGGTGAGGACATTTGTGAGGAGTAGACATAGGACAACCAAGACTATGTTTGGGCTATTTTAGTTTTGTTCCACATGAAATTAGTTTGTTGTTGAAATACTTAAAAGGAATGAATGCAGAGTATTAACTTTGAATATGAAGGTATTATATGATGATTTTGGTGGAGTTTTATAAAATTTAAAGGCTTATGGTAAGATGGAGACAAGACTATGTGCAAGACTAATTTAAGTTGGGAGCTTAAAATTATGGAACTTTTTTTGGTTTTGATTACTTGGATTATGGTTGACTAGTCTTGTGTAATAGCTAAGGTGTAGAAAAGATGCTAGAAAAGATTGAAAGGTCTTTTGACTAGGTTATTTTGGTTAAGGTAGGTGAAGAAACAATTATTAAAAAAGAAAAAAAATCATAGTTTTTTCATCATTTAAAGGATAACTTTTTTTTTTTCACATGGTATTACAATATTTAGGCATTACAAAGCCTCTTTGACTAAAATCATTTCACACAAAAGGATAAGAAATTTTTAAGGGAAGGTGGGTGCCAACCATTGATGAAAGTGAGAATTTCATCTAAATGTGATTATATATATATATATCCATTCTAACATGATTCCTTCTATAGATGGTTTATTAAATATACCCCACGGTAAAAAAAATACAAAATAAATAAAAAAGAAAATTATATTTTAAAATTTTTTTAAATGGGGTTTTTCTTGGGTACTTGACATTCCACTTTTTTATCCCTTCCTTGGGCTTTGGTCATAGCTTTTTATATGTAGACCTTACCTTGATTTTTTGGTTCATATGATATGTTGCATTATTGTGTCCATATCTTTTATGGGATCAAAGAATCAACAAAGGGAAACATAAAATAATTAGTGTAGTGTGAATTGTAATACATAAAATTTAAATTTTGTTAATTTAATATTTTATTAAAATATGTTAATAAATATGATATATTCTAATTGCTTATGTATGAAATCCTATTCCTTAGAATGTTTCTTATATAACATTTTCTGGTACAAAGAGACCTAAATTAATATTTTATATGCACAAAAGTACATTTAGTTAACAATGTTTTATTTTGTTTTTTACTAAAATTTGATGAAAAGCATATAAAAATTTATATTTTCTTACTAATAACGGTGAAATGAATTTTCATTGCACAATATAGTTGATATTTTGTACTTGTATACATTTTTTTAACTCCTCGCTTCAATGTAAAAGATGTGATGATGTTAATAAGTACTAGCTTAAATGCTATTATTGTCAAACTTTCTGAGCTAAACACGGCGTTTTGGCTTTTAGTAGAAGCTTGTAATCAAGACAAAGAGTGTGGAATACATGCCATTCTGGCTTTCCTTCACTGGCTTTCTCAATGGAGTATGTTGGACCTCATATGCACTCATTAAAATTGACATATTTTTATTGGTAAGCATTCTTCCCCATATCCTAGCGCACTTTTCTCTTGAGTTTTTAAACTTCATCATGATTCATATTTATTATTATTGATGGCTATTTTAAATATAATTTAAAATAATTTTTAAGCAGATACCAAATGGATTAGGAGCAATCTTGGGCCTTCTCCAGCTATTATTGTATGCATTCTACTATAATCACAATTCCATTGAAGGGCATGAAAACAAAGAGGAGAATGTAGAAATGGTTGTGTAGCATCAGGAGCACACGATAGTAGAAAGCATTCAACTGCAAAGGTTCAATCTAAAACTTTGCAACCGAGCATGAAAGAACCATCACGTGAAGCAGATTGATGCTATAACCTAGGATTTTTTTTTTTTAATTTTCTTATTTAAATGTTATGTGAAAATTATGTATTTGCTTAACCTTATGTAGTGTATGTGTTTGTTGGTGTCTGTAAGCATTAAATTTTATCTTGCTTATATGTGACTTGGGTGGCTTCAAAAATTTTTATAAGTTTAAAATTTAATTTTTAATTTAATAGAAAGCTTGTTTGCAAAACTTTAATTTGTTATTTTATGATTAGAGCAAACAAACAAGGAAAAAAGTAAAGTGCAAGAAAGAAAAGAAAGGACACAAGAAACTTGTTTATGTGGTTTGGCCAAAACTAAAAAATGAGCCTATGTCCATGCCTTGCCTCCCATGACTAGTAATTCACTAAGCAATTCAACCGCAAACAATGTACTTTCCAACAACGGGAATGTAAATGATATGAAAATGTAAAGTTGGTATATACAAAATCAATCACGAAATGAAACAATGAAATTAAAAAAAAAAACTTTCAAATTAGATTTGAAAATACTATTCACTACTTTGAACAAACTCACCAAAGATTATCTCCTTTGAGTAAAAGATGAAGATGTTTGATGGGGAGAGTCTTTGGAATCTTTATAAGAATACAAAAAATGAAAATCTCATCCAAGTAACTTTAGTAGAGAAGGTTTAGTGATGGGGACATCAGTTGGAAAGTCTACCGTCGACGTGGCCGTAGATCTACGGCCACGATGTACCCGATGTATTTTTAATTTCAGCATGATCGTTTTATTTGATGTAATTTTTATTTCTGCACTTTTCCCTTTTTTACCCTTGCTTGAGGGATTGAGTCTTGTAGCCCCTCGAGGGTATTTTAGTCTTTTATTTTTTTTATGACATTGTAATGGGCTATTTATAGCCTCCTTGTATTTTCATGGTTAATGAATGATTATTTGAGATTTCTTCCCACACTTGTGATTTTGAGAGCTTTGAGAGTTCTTGGAGAGTTTTGGAGAGATCCCTTGGAGAGGGAGATTGGCGCATCACCCACCAACCTCGGAGAAGGCCGGGTTCGTGGTTTATCTTTTTTTTTTTGTTTTCTCTTCTTCCTTTTGTTTTGGCTGAAACCCCTTCACCCCACCTCCCTTGCCGCAGGTTTCTCCACCCACCCAAGCCACTTCACTTCCCCTCAATACCCACGGCCGTCATCCCCAAAACTGACCTACCTGCATCCCGCCGGCCAACCTCCTAGCCGCCGGCATCCCTTTCATCCACCACCTTTCCTTTGTCAATCACCGGCCCCCATTTCGTCCTCCATACGAATTTTCAAATTTTGAAAATTCATTGTGGAAGTTTCCATATTTGCCCGACGCCAAATTAGGAAAGTTTCAATGACGTGCCAAATTCAAATTTCAATTTGAGCGGATTTGAAATTTTCGTCATCAATTCATCGGAGCGGATTAGGAAACGCATAATTACTTTTCCCCTAACCCCTCCCCCCTCTCTCTATGCCGTCGGCCCCATTAATGGGCCTCTCTCCTTTAATGCCCCATTAAGGGTGTTAATGCATGATAATTGAAATTCAAAATCCATGATTTTTCCCTCCAATTTTACTTAAATCTGAAAATAATTTCAGATTTGGGATTTACTCAAATCATATTCCACCTAATCTAGCTTCTTTAACCCTAGTCGCCTCTCCCCCTCTCTCACAACCCGCCGGCCAACCTCTCCCCCACCGCCCACCTCTCTTTTCTCTCTTCACACTCCTCTCAAGGCATAGCTACTACTTGGATTGGAGATGGAAAATAAATCCGTCCCTTGAGTTAACCTTGCTCATCACGACGTTTCTTCGAGAAGGATTCATCTAACCTTGGACGGACAATTTCGGAAGGTACGTGGGATTTCTACGACGTCTCTCCGTGAAGGTGATTCTTTCTCCTTCTTGATTCTTTTACTTTCGAATTCCGAATTCTTCATGAGAATTTGTTCAAAGCGAGAGATTGTGTCCCTTTGTTGCCATTCACTAGTGCTCGTAGGATTTGCTACTTCTTGGCTTTTTGATCTTGTTGTTAAACTAGGATTATGTTGAATACTATCCTACTTGCATTACTTTAACTTTCCTACGTGTTTTGATTCCGTTTAGCATTTTGTGCAGTTTGGCCTAAGCGAAAGTGACCGTTTATTAGTTTTATTTTGTGGTTTTAATCACTAATAACAAAATTTGAAATTGATCTTTAAATATTTTGTGCAAATTCCTAAATTATGCATGTAGTCCTGCATCATCTGGTATCAGAGTATGGTTAGGCTAGGATTTTCTTTCTAGAATACTTCCTAGGGTGTTACCTAACTTTTGTTCAAGTTTCTGCATGCATAACATTGTTAGATTTATGTTAAAACCCATTTTATGCTTGCTGTCCAGAATTTCCTGCAACATATAGCGTGCTGTAGGTTCACCGTTTAGGTGCCTAAGTGCTGTCAATCACTTCCCCACTTCAGCATTTGCATATAGAACCTTAACCCTTCGTTGTAGTTTGCTGTCCGTGAGTTTCCAGCACCATTTAGAGTCCCGATAGAGTGTTTTCCCTGCTGTAGGTTTGCTGTCCACTTCCTAGAAAACCTTCTAAGTACCCCATAGTGTTTAGAAATGGACCCGGAACAACTTAGCAGGACTTTAGACCTGTTGGTAGGTCAAATGGGCGCGATTAGTCAGCAACTTAAGGAAAACCAGTCTGACCTAGCGGAACTTCGGCGACAGACAACTGATAGGTTCGATAACCTAGAACGAGGTAGGAACCAAGCTCCCCTTTACACGCCTTCTAGACCACCTTCCATGTATGGGGATGATACTTTTCAAGATGATGGGCCCCCACGTGCCCCTTATCGAAATCCTCATTACATACACGACACCAACCATGACCCCGACATTCACTTGATGAAGAATATCAAGGTAGAAGCACCCACTTTCGATGGCACCTTAGATCCACAACTCTTCCTTGATTGGATCAAAGGTATGGATAGCTTCTTCAAGTGGTATAACATTTCTGAAGCCAGAAAGGTTAGGTTCGCGGAGATGAAGCTTATTGGTAGGGCTAGCCAATTCTGGTCGAACTTAGAAAGTCTTAGGGAGTCCCGCAACGAGTACCCCATTACTGATTGGGCGTCCATGAAACGTGAACTTAAACAGAAGTACCTACCTCCTTATTTCCCTAGACTCCTTGACAGGTGGAACCGACTTACCCAAGGAAGCAAACCCGTTAAGGATTACATTGCATCCTTCGATGATTACCTGATTCGTTGCAAAGGGGAGACCTCAACCACCCCCGCGCAAATTTTGTCGATGTTTCGTACCGGACTGCGGGAAGATTTACGCAACGAACTTTTTGCCCGGAATATCACTACTCTGGAGAACGCCTACAGCCTAGTGCTTGATCTAGAGGAGTCCCGTTCTCAGCATCCGAGTCGATCTCATGACTCTAGACCTTCGTATAGATCAGCCGGTAGTTCCACCTCGCACCCTCCTGTTTCACGACCTACTCCGGGGAGCACGACCCGACCACCCACGGGTCCACCTGCACTTAGATCTGACTCTAGAAGTAAGCCTCCTACCACGGATGCCCCTCGGCCCAGTCCCGGAACCAAGTGTTTTCGATGCCAGGGGTATGGGCATATCGCTTCTCAGTGCTCCAGTCCTTACAAGGTTTCGATCGTTGAGGAAGTAACTGAGGACGATCTCGAGCCCGAGGTTGATCAGGTCCACCAAGTGGAGGAAGAAGGCGAATACTTCGAGGAGGACGACGACACTACGGTCCTCAGTTGCCTTCGACAGCCGGATACCTCTCCCATCTGCGTGGTGAGATGTGCACTATCACACCCGACACCCACTGATGACTGGCGTAGGACCACAATTTTCCATACCTACACCAAAATCAAAGACAAAAACTGTAAAGTCATAGTGGATAGTGGTAGTTGCATCAATGCTATTTCCTCCAGCATGGTAACTCAGTTAGGTCTGTCTGTCGTTCCTCACCCCAACCCTTATAAGGTATCGTGGGTCAACTCCAATGCCTTGGAGGTGAAGGAACGAAGCCACCTACCCGTCTCCTTTGCCTCTTATAAGGAGAATGTCTGGTGCGATGTGTTGACCATGAATGTTGGACAAATTTTGCTAGGTCGCCCCTGGATCTACGATAACGATGTCCACATTTATGGTCGTTCAAACACCTGTGTGTTTGAACATGTGGGCAAAAAGATTAAGCTCTTGCCATCTCAACCCCGGGTTACGGATCCCACGAAATCCAACCCAACCAAATCCAAAAAGGGCGTGAACCTTGTCACCGCCAAGGTTCTAATTACTGAAGTTTCCCAAGGCGCCCCTTTATTTGCCTTAGTTGGCCGTGAGATTTCCACTGAATCGGACGAGCCCATTCCTGAGGAGGTACAGCCAATTTTAGGACAGTATGCTGATGTCTTTCCCAATGATCTCCCAGATCAGTTACCACCGCTTAGAGACATTCAGCATGCTATAGACTTCGTCCCTGGAGCCTCCCTACCTAACCTGCCCCACTACCGCATGAACCCCTCGGAACATGCCGAGCTTAAGAAGCAGGTTGACGAGTTACTGCAGCGAGGTTTCATTAAGGAGAGTCTTAGTCCCTGTGCAGTACCGGCCCTTCTCACACCTAAGAAGAACGAAACTTGGAGAATGTGTATTGATAGCTGTGCTATCAACAAGATCACCGTCAAATATCAATTCCCTATTCCGAGACTCGACGACATGCTCGATATGATGACGGGTGCAACTTTATTCTCCAAAATTGATCTTAAGAGTGGATACCACCAGATCCGGATATGACCCGGTGATGAGTGGAAAACCGCGTTCAAAATGAAAGATGGCCTTTATCAGTGGTTAGTCATGCCCTTTGGACTGAGTAATGCCCCTAGCACTTTTATGAGGGTGATGACTCAGGTGTTGCGCCCCTTTATGGGTAAGTTTGTTGTCGTCTATTTTGATGACATTCTTATCTATAGCCATTCCGTTGATCAGCACCTTGACCACCTTAGGCAAGTTTGTGATGTCTTGAGGAAAGAACAGCTTTATGCCAATCCTAAGAAATGTACTTTCCTCGTAGACCAAGTCATCTTTCTAGGCTTTATTGTTTCTGCACAAGGTGTTTCTGCCGACCCCGAGAAGGTTAGAGCCATAGTTGACTGGCCCGTTCCTCAGAACATTCGGGAAGTTCGCAGCTTCCACGGGTTAGCTACCTTCTATAGGCGATTCTTCCGAAATTTCAGCACCATAGTGTCTCCTATCACTGATTGTCTTAAGAAGGGAGATTTCCATTGGACCCCGGCTGCCACCAGAGCATTCGATGAGATCAAGAAATGAATGGTGGAAGCCCCAGTGATGAGACTTCCCGACTTCTCTAAAGTCTTCGAGGTGACCTGCGATGCTTCGGGGGTCGGAATTGGAGGAGTCCTCTCCCAGGAGGGTCACCCGGTAGCCTATTTCAGCGAGAAGCTGAATGATATTAGGCAGCGTTACTCCACTTACGATAAGGAATTCTACGCCGTGATCCAATCCCTTCGCTACTGGCGGCACTACTTGCTCCCGCAAGAGTTCGTCATCTTTTCGGATCGCGAGGCTTTGAGATACATCAATTCTCAAAAGAAACTTAATGCCCGACATGGATGGTGAGTAGAATTTCTTCAGGAGTACACATGCACTCTTAGGCACAAGGCAAGGGTCGAGAATAAGGCTGCTGACGCTCTCAGCCATCGGATGATGACTACTCTTGAGTTGAGAGCGGAAGTCGTGGGTTTTGATCAGATGAAGATGGATTATCTTGAGTGCCCAGACTTCAAAGAAATTTACTCTTCCCTGTCCACGGGCAGCACCCGCCTCGTGGACGATTTCCTTTTGGATGATGGGTACCTTTTCAAAGCCCAAAAGCTTTGTATACCTCGCACTTCCCTTAGGGAATTTCTTGTGTGGGAACTTCACGCTGGGGGCCTCGCTGGACATTTTGGTAGAGATAAGACGATTGAGGCTGTTGAGTACCGTTTCTTTTGGCCAAGCCTTAAGAGAGATGTTGGTATAATGGTTGCTAGGTGTCACACGTGTCAATTAGCCAAGCAACGTAAGCAGAACATTGGGCTTTACACTCCGTTACCTGTGCCTAGTTGTCCTTGGCAGGATGTCAGTATGGATTTTATTTAGGCCTGCCAAAGACACTGCGAAGGAATGATGCCATATGCGTAGTCGTAGATCGATTTTCCAAAATGGCTCATTTCATCCCCTGTTCCAAAACATTTGATGCTTCTCACATTGCCAAGCTTTATTTTAATGAGGTTGTCCGCTTGCATGGTTTACCCAAAACCATTGTATCGGATCGAGATGTTAAGTTCACAAGTTACTTCTGGAAAACCCTGTGGATGAAGATGGGTACTAAGATACAATTTTCCACTGCCTTTCACCCACAGAAGGATGGTCAGACAGAAGTAGTTAACAGAAGTTTGGGAAACTTATTGCGTTCTTTGGTTGGGGATCATATTAGAGACTGGGACACTATCCTACCCACTGCTGAGTTTGCGTACAATAATCCTGTCAATCGAACCACGGGTCTAAGTCCTTCTGAGATTGTATACGGGTTTAAACCTAGACAACTGTTAGATTTGATTCCTATTGTTGACCTCATTATTCGAGGTCAATTTTCCTGGAATCGACTCTAGTACCTAGGTTTTCGTAGCCTAGTGTAGATGTCGCACCCATAGGATTTCCCTTAGGTGGACGCCTAATGACGTAGCATCGACTCGAACCTATCACTCAACTCGAATCAAAATCAAAATCAACTCACCAATCGAAACGAAATCAAATCAAATTAATTCAAATCGAATTCGATTTCAATGGCTCCGATTAACCCGTTTTGACTCTTCACAAGTATATATATAATAATAATTGATACGTCGTAAAAAATTATCTTAATCACGCACAAATCTCGATGCAAAATCAAGTTTGGAAACTTCAAAAATTAATTCGGAGACCATCCAAACTCCGATTTCAGCAAACTTATAGTCGAACTGAGCGTCTCAGGAATACAAACCCAACGACACCAAAATCAACCCAATCCGAGCCCAAATGAGTC